TGCCTCAAAGTTTGTTTTAAAGGTATTAATGATGTAATTGGACATTTTCAGGTTCAAAGGAAGTCTGCCTTTAATTTGGTGGGGTTCCTCTCTGCCCCTTCTCAGCAAGAAAGTAGGAGTAGGGACTTCTAAGAGCACAGCTTTGTGTTGGCTTCCTCCCCTGTAGCGCATCTGCCTCCATCTATCCAGCAGTTGAGTTCCGAGAAGGGACTGTGGTCGGCTGAGAAGTACACGCCGGCCAGATGGTGGCAGATGTGGATCCTGGTGGTGGAGGGTAAGCAAGGCCAAACTCTGCCTCCCAGCAGCTTAGAGAGCTGCTACAAACACAGTCTCAGGAATTATGGTAGTGAGACAGAATACTGTATTCATTTCCCAAGGGGGTCATCCTGGGGTTGTTTTTACAGCAGGATTTTGTAGCAGGTCAGAACGTCCTGACCTTACTCATCCTGACCTTCCCCTGTCTTCCTGCCACTGCTTTGTGGGCAGGGTGGAGGAGGGCTGCTGTTCCCAGAGCTAGAGATCCAGAGATAGAGGCCTTGTTTCCACTCTCCCTTGGAGCTTATGGTCTGGGACCCAAGACAGAGTTGTTTAAAACCAATGACAGCGACTTCCACCGCTGGACCATGGTAATAGGGGGGATAAAACACCAAAGACCCAAAAACAAACAGAAAAATACATCAAACAAGTTTTCAGACAGTGGACAACAGCAACACAATACAGATTTGTGAGAAAGGGGAACAAATGAAATGGGCCCGCCAGCTGTCCCAGCTCACTCCCTGGGGGGAGTGACCTGGTCACAGGAGAGGGAGGAGCACCCAGGCAGAGTCGGGGGTCTCAGTGGGATAAGGAGGCAGAACCAGGAGTCGAGGGAGGCCAAGGGGGTGAGCGTTCCGGGAAGAGTGGCAGAGAAGAGACGCTGCGTGAGACAGCTCTGGAGATCTGCAGTGGCCTCTTGAGTCTTCAGTGCCGTTCGCTCCCTGCACGTGAGGAAACTACTGAGGCTGGAAAGAACTAGCAAAAAGCAGCAAGCAGAGGAATCCTCAGAGTTCACACGGGCGGGGAAGTAGTCCCTGCTTCCACCACCCAGAATTTTAGAGAAAAACCTTGAAATATATGACATTCTGGGCATAGTTCTCAGAAGATTACTGTCTTAATAGTGGGGCCAAATTAGCCCTAAAGTTTGCTCCGGAACCACCAAGGGAAGCTTAAAGACAAGCCTCAAAGGATCATGTTATTTCAAAGTAACCTAATGCTTTCCCCAATAAAACTGAGGGAGGTTTAAAGTAATGGAAAAAGAAAAATCCAGCACACATCCCCTGAAGAACAGAATGGCTACCCAATTCCAGTATTCTTGCCTGGAGAATTCCATGGACAGAGGAGCCTGGCGAGCTACAGTCCATGGGGTCACAAAGAGTTAGACATGACTAAGCAACTAACACTTTCACCTTTTTTCATATATGTACATAATATACATACTTATACTGACATAGGCCTAAAATGTTTCTTGAAGGATACCCAAGAAACTGGTAACATCAGTTGCCTCTAGGAACAGAAATTAAATCTCTGGGGCAGGGGGTGAAGGGAGATGTTTAACCCTGTACATATGGGACCCTCTGTATTCACTAGACAATGTATGACTTATTCATAAAATATGGAATAAAACGTATGCACTGGTCACAAGTGAGCTCACAAGTGGAGCCTGACTGGAATCAGGAAGGACGTGAGACCCCTCAGCCACCTGGATGGCCAGATGCCTTGGGCTGTGTCCCCAGGGTATACAGGGTCGTATCAGCGACGGGCCACCGACAGGGTTGGGAAGCTGAAGTGGGCTTGGGAGCCCCCAGGATATCCATCTGTAGCCCAAGTTGGGTTTTGAGGTCAGTAAATCCCTAACCTACACTTGGAGGTACACAGGAGTCACTGTTTTACTGCTCAGTTCAGTTCAGTTCAGTCGCTCAGTCGTGTCCGACTCTTTGCGACCCCATGAACCGCAGCACGCCAGGCCTCCCCGTCCATCACCAACTCCCGGAGTCCACCCAAACCCATGTCCATTGAGTCGGTGATGCCATCCAACCATCTCATCCTCTGTTGTCCCCTTCTCCTCCTGCCCTCAATCTTTCCCAGCATCAGGGTCTTTCCCAATGAGTCAGCTCTTCACATCAGGTGGCCAAAGGATTGGAGTTTCAGCTTCACCATCAGTCCTTCCAGTGAACACCCAGGACTGATCTCCTTTAGGATGGACTGGTTGGATCTCCTTGCTCAGCAGATTTGGGTTTAAAGGGAGAGCGCCCCGAGGACTAGAACTGCTAGGTTGCTTACGGGGATATGTATTTCAGCTCAGTAGAAAGAACGACATTCTAAAATCAGGATGAAAAGGAAACTGAACATACCCACCCAGGGAGGTCATGAGTTTACTACCTCTGGACATGTCTAAACACTGACAGGCCACACCGAGGGATGTCACCGAAGGGACTCAGCATCCCACGGTGGATGACACCACGCACATAATGTTTAGTATCCCTCTGCGTGTATATTCAGAGTGAGCAGAGGGTGACATGTCCCTTTTCTCTTTTGCTAAGAGAAGAGTTAGTCAAACAAGACAGATCCCAGTAGTATTTGCACAGAATTTATCGGGTATCACTCACTGATGAGAAGTTTGTAGGAATACCTGTATCTTTCTAGATACTGGGAGCAATTCTCTGGCTGACGGTACATTGCACGTAATCACCATAAACCTCGGAATTTAAATTTGTGGATCATGCCTTGCCTTCCTAATATTCTAATAGTTCCATATTCTCCCAGCTAACTGCATTTATGTGTAACAAATTTATAGTGCAAGAATTATTCTTTAAGATGAAGTTCCTGCTCCCTTTGCCTAGAGCCAGCACCCGACTAGAAGAAAATGATATTCCAGTATGGCAATTCTGTATTTAAGGAGAGTATGACATAAAGAGAAAAAGGAATACTGAGAAATATGTACCACCCCCTCAAAAAATTTTATATTCAACACAAAGAAAGCAAGACAAAGAACAAAGAGCTAGATAAAAGAAAGCAATCTGTTTGGGGCCAAGCCAAATAAATTTAAATAGTTTTAGAAATAAATTGGTGGAGTAATTCGAATCATGGGCAGGTGCTATGAATGTAATTTAGTAAATGCTCGGGAACCTGCCAAGGAAGAGAAAAATGTGTTGCTTTTGAGATCATTTCCCAGCAGCTTCATAAAAGAAAACTGATTACAGGAATTTAATAAGTAAAACAGAGCCAGAACTATAGTAATCAAATGAGTTTTTAATTACATTTCATGCAGAAAAAAATTCCAATTTGTGCTCCTGGGATTAAAAAAAAAAAGTTTAGAGAAATGCTTTTGTAGCAGGAAAATAACATAAACACTAATTTCCATAGGAATTATAGTGGTTGGTTTAATTAAAAGGCTTGATCAGAGCAAAGAGGAGGCAGTGCCAAACTATACTAAAAACCATGGCATGCGTCGCCCCCTCTCACACTATTTTCTAAATAAAAACTCTGCACTGAGTGAAAACAGGCACCTGCATTTTTCTCGTGATGTAAAGGGGATTTTGATTGCTGCCTGAATTATTATGCTGCTGTGATTTATTATCATATGGAATAACGAATACATCCAATTTCAAATTAGACGTCGTTGCTTGGTGTGATAAATATCACGATAATATGCTCTGTTTAGGGGATCTGAATGTGAAGGGGCATCACCTAGGCCAGGGTGGAGTGCTCACTGGTCAGCAGTCTCCCCGATTATTTCTGGACTTCCAGCCCCCACTTAACTTACATCTAGTTGCATCACACTTGTATCTCTGAAACTCCCCAGAGCAGAGTTATTTAGGCAATGCTTCAGGCCTTCCTAACACACTGCAGTCATGATCAGGGTATTCCGTCCTCAGCAGAAACAACTCTTCTTCCTGTTGGCGGACTTCGCTCTGGAGCACCTGCCAACCACCGGTCAGGCTTGAAGGCTTTTCAGGAGGCGTCCTACAATGGCGGTGGTTTAGTCACATGGTCACATTTTGTCTCCCTTGTGATGACTGGGACGCACCTGCAGGGAGTCTCCATGGGACTAGGGCTATAATCTGTGGCCACAGAACGCTGACCAAGGCATTTCCCGAGGCTAAGCCCTCACAGCTCCATGATCCTTGTTTTATTCATTGCTTTGTCCCAGTAGAGCGGTGATCCAAGATTTGTGGGGCTGGAAGTTTGTACTGTTTGGGACTAGGGGACCATTTTTTTTTTAAATGATACAAAATTAAGTGCAAAACAGATATATAGAAGGGTCTCCTGCAAGTGAGCAGGCTGGATCCTGACCTTTCTTAGCCTTGGGAATCGGTCAGCCTCTGGCCACACCCTACATTTTCTCTCCCTCATTTCTTCCCCACCCCTCCATCTGTCCCTCTCTTCCACACCCCTTTTTCTTTTCTCTCTTGTCTATTTCCATGTATGTTCTCATGGTGATCTGTACATTGAGCACAGTTCCCCGATCCTGCGCTTTAAAAAAGGAGCTCCTCTCATTTCAGGACTTTACCTGGCCTTTCTCATTCAGGTGAATCCACCCAGAATCATCTATGGTAGAGCAAATGGTAGGTTTATTTTTGTAAAAATTTCAGTTCCTGGTCTATTGAGGTCCAGAGCCCTCCTTAGCAGGCAAAGATACACATATTAGTAGACATGTGTGAGCTGAATATTTTGTTTCCTATTTGATGTGAATTTAAAACAGGATCATAATCAAATTGGCTGGCGCCCCCTGGAGCAGTACACAGACATCTGTCTTATTTTTCCATTTTCTCTGTAAGTTCTATTAATACAACACAGTGATGTTAAGTGCATATTTGCTTCTTGTAAATAGGTCATGTTTACCAAAATAATCATCATTTTCATTGCTTACAGCCCATTTCCATTCTCCTCACAAGTGAAAGCTAGAAAATCACGGCCATGATTGGTTCATGTCTCCCCCACCCGCTTTTGTTTTCTTGTAGGCACTGGTGAAGGTCAATGTGAAACTGAAGCCGATGTTGGATTCCGTGGCCACCAACAGAAGTAAGTGGGAAGAGCTGCACCAGAAAACGCTGCCCGTCTCCTCGACTGCCTCCGCCCGCTCTGCCAAGGTCACGGAGACCAGGGATGACAGAAACTAACCCTCCAGGCCAGCCACTGCTGCAAAATGACTGCGCCCCGAAGAGCCAGCTTCCATCCCGCACACCATTCTTTGGTTCCTTTAAGCTCAAACAGACATACAACCTCAGGGATGTGCTGAGAAGCATGCCTGGATGTTCACCTTGAAGCGTGGTATCAGCACAAAGGACAGAGGAGGAAGCGGGGACAGCAGGCAGACTCCAGGACCCTCACCTTTCCCTGATGAGCACGGAGATTCTGGGCTGAGAAGATTCTGGGCAGAGGGCAGCTGTGGGGCCAGGACTGAGGATGGCTGGCCCTGCTCCCTTGGAGCTAAGAGGACACTGAACAGTGAAGGCGTCATTAGCGCTGCTTCATTTTGTATATGGCTATTCTGTTTGTTACAAGCCAAACAATGCCTGCCTCTGCTTCCTCTCCCAACTCCCTTTTGTGCCAGACTGTCCCTAGAATCCTAATTTGTATTCTGTGGAGATATCTTATTTTTAATCCTAAAGCTTCTTAATGATAGATCAGAGCCTTCATAATTGCCTAAAAGAGACACCTATATTATCCTTACAAAAACTAGCCACTCCCAGTTTCCCTTAAAAAGGTCCGTAGTAGGAAGACAGCAGATGTGTTTGTCTGATTGGTGTTTACACATGATTCGTAACACTGCATTGGGATTGTGGTCCCCTTTTTCAGTTTTTAGAGTCAACCTTCAATGTAGATCAAGTCTTCTCCTAGCAGGAATGGATTGGTAGACTTTAGTTAAACTCTGGATGAAAGAAAATCTATAGGTGGATTTACCATGAGTGACACAAGAACATTCAGAGCTATTTCCAACAGTGAGACATTTCACAGGACACAGCAGAGCCATGGAGAATGATCATTGACAACCTTTATATATATTAGAGTTCTCCTAGTGATGAGTTTCAGTATAAAGTCTAAGGTTACTGCCAGTGCCAACTGAAAGCCAAATGGAGAGCTCCCCAATTTTGGATTTTTCCTTAAGTGTAAAATATAATGCTTGAAAGATTAAGAAATAATAGTCTGGGCAGTGAACAAATATCCTACAGAAATCCAGATTTATAAAAGGTAAGAATGTGTGCATGCTAAGTTGCTTCAGTCTTGACCGACTCTTTGCAACCCTATGGACTGTAGCCCACCAGGCTCCTCTGTCCATGGGATTCTCCAGGCAAGAATAGTGGAGCGGTTGCCATGCCCTCCTCCAAGGGATTTTCCCAACCCAGGGATCGAACTCGGGTCTCTTATGTCTCCTGCACTGGCACCACTTACTACTCGCACCACTTGGGAAGCCCATAGATTAGAATAAGCTATATTAAACAGATGCAGAGATTAGAAAGCTGAGAGACTGAGGACATGGTATGCCCTATCCAAAGTCCCCGCTGTGGGACTTTCCTGGTGGTCCAGTAGTTAAGAATCTTCCACCACAAAGGAACTAAGATTCTGCATGCCATGAGGTGCAACCAAAAAAAAAAAAGAGAAAAAACAAAACAAAACAATGCTGGGCTAGAAGCTAGACTTGTACCCCATCTCTGGCACCATTCACTGGATGGCTTTAGACAAATCACTTAACTTCTTCCTTTTTCCTCATTTGTCAAATGAGATTACACTAAGAAATTATTTTCAAACATAACTTAACCTTAGAACTCTTCATTCAAATAAATCTTACAAAGACTCCCCAAGACATAAAACATCTAAAAGTCCAAGTCCTCTGTTTGAAGCTGGGTTGGGGGAGCCCTATGAAGCCTCATCTTGATTACATACCTAGCGGCCCATAAAGGGCCTCTGAGGAATTTGAAAATCTCTGGACCGGATAAACCTTGAAGTCCATTCCAGTTCCAAAAAAATCTAAAATTTAAAACCACTTCTGTTCTTGTTGTTGCTGGTCAGTGTTAGTTACTAACTTTACTCAGAGAAAGAGGGGCCAAGTTCCACCAAGGACATTGTTTTCCTGGCACATGGTAGACATTGGGGAAATGTTTAAAGAACGGGTAAATTAAGGAACCAAAACAGAAGGGAACAGCAAGGTAACCATGAGGAAGAAGAAAGATTCTACATGAGCAGAAATGGAGGAAAAGAAAATTATAAACCAGGCAAATGGAGGAAAAGAGGAGGAGGGGAACCAAAAGAAAGTGACTAACAAGAAAATATAGGACCCAATGCAGGTGGTAAGAGATGGCCAAAGGGAAGGTGAACATTAATCCAAACACGGAAAAAACGAGACTTGTTATAAGAAAAATGAAGGTACGTCTTGTCATCAATTGCTCAGAAAAGAGAGATACTTGAGTAGGGAGGGGATTGACAAAAGAGAAAAGGAAGGAGTGGGAACCCTAAAAAATAATGTTCCCAGCTACCCTCTACCACTGTCTCCAGGGGGAAGACTGGAGAAACTCGAGGAGAAAATAAGTGCAGGAAAAATTGCCTCTGCAGAGCAGGTAAGAGGAGGTTGTTCAGATTTATGGATTTTATTAAGCCAGTTTTCTGAATCACTCAGCTATAAAGGAAAACAGCTTCTGCTGGGCTGTCTCCCTCCTTCAGGTGAGGAAGAAAGGGTGGGTGGAAGCAGGGACAGAGCCTGGTTGTGTGTCTGCAGCTAGAAGCACTGCAGGTGTTTCTAGCTGCTGTGTCACATCATGTTTGTATCACAAGCGGGAATTGAAAATCAGTCCATGTGAGGCAGAGATGAACCCACATCTGTCATCCTCCCCAACGATAAATAAATAAATAGCCCAGAAAGATGGATGCCAGTGTATCTAGAGCAAAATTTTAAAGCATGTGCTTTATGATAAAACTAGACCCAGGGTCCGATGGAGACTGCAGGCGGCTACATGCACTGTGGCTACCCTGAATGTTGATGCTGCATATTGCTGAGGGGAACGTAATTTATAGCAGAAACCCTCCGGCTTCCACTAAGGTTGAGTTTTCCTCTCATTTTCTTGCCTTTTTATTGGCTTCGCTGCACGGTTGCCAATAGCAACATCCACTGGTAGCAAGGGGAGTTCAACACCATTGCAATCTGCCATACAGTGGAGCCCTGACAATGTCAACCATCAATCAAGTGGCTGTTTGTAATTGCCTCCATCTATTTTTCCTGTCTCAAGGTATCTTTTCTATTGTGGGTCAAAATTCAGAAACTGCTGACTAATGCCCAGGTCTGTTCCTCCATGACCATGAAACAGTAGAAAAGGAGGGTAGCAGGCTCCCTGGAGCCAACAACCCAGAAGGTTAGAGGTTGAACTTGGGAGTTTGGGGTATTTTAAATCCCTTTTCTAAGTAATGTATAACTTCAGAAGAATTTGAGGTATGCGTGGTTACCCATATAATCTGCTTTCCCAAAACAGAAAAAGAGAAAATTTCCCAATTGTTATTATTAATATTTATTTCCTATTGGAGGAAGGCACTTAAATGTGAACCTTCTTATAAAACCTCCAACTGACCAAATGTTTGGTTCTCTTGGCATTTATGGTTGAAATGACTTCATCCTACTTTGTCCACGAGGTGTATTTTTCTCAGGCAGGCTATTTATCATTTTATTAGTCAGTACGTGGATAATACATGCACAACCTACAATATAGCTGGCAATCCCAGCCAGGAGGGACAGCTTGGCAGACTGCAAAGGGCACCGCCCCAGTGCACAGTGGATGGGGCTCTCCCTGGCCTGGCTTGTTATCTTGGGACCCTCAGGTCTCGGATTTTCCACCTGTAAAATAAAAGCCCTGACTTTTATTCAGTTCATTCCTACACCAAAGGACCAAGCTGTGTTTAACTTTAAAAATGTATTCCATGTAATTGTCTTATTCACTCTTCTCAAACAAGATAGAGATAAACAGGTCATCTCCTCCCTAAAGACAAAATAAAAAGTTACATACATGGAGTAGATACGAAAACAACCTTACCACAGATATGTCTGAGCCTGCCTCTAATGATCATAAAGACATGGTCATCAGTATAATTTTTTTTAAATATACCCTTTTATTTCATAAAGGACAGCTTTAGATTATCTCATAGCATAGATATCCCATAAATGGTAGTTTAATTTAGAATTTATAAAGTGAGTCAAAAGAAGTTAAAATTGCACGTGATTTCTGTTTCTGAAATCTGCAATGTCCACATATTTCCAGGTATTTTATATTTAAATACCCATTGGGTTGGGTTAGAAATAATCGTTAAAATTTTGTTAGTGAAAAACTATCTAATATTAATGCTACAGGAATTCAGTTGCTTTTTTCATGTATCAAAATGTATCATATTTGATCCACTTACCTTAGGTCATTAAACAGAATCTGCTCAATTTACTTTGTGGTAGAATTATTTTAAAATCCATTCCTCCTGCTGACTCAATGAATTACAGAAAGATAAAATACAGTTTCACCTCCAATAATAGTGTGAAAAACTCCTGCCAAGTGGGATAGAAATCTAACAGATTAAGGGAAGATTTACATATAAAGAAAAATGTTTTGGCTGGAAAAACAATATCCAAAAAGGATTCATTAAAGCAAGAGTAAAACCTAGTTTGGGACCCTAAAAACTATGGCAGGGCCACTGCAGTGAAATTTCATTGTCTGCTTCAGAATAACAGTCTCTGAAACAGTTGTCATGCGCTGTAAAGAATTCCCAAACCTCACATGAATCAGGAAATTTAAAGGTTGAGTCTGGCTATAAGAAGGCCAAAATTTCCTAAGTCTCCTAAGTGAACAATAATAAAATAAAACATATAGACAGCAGAAGTGATGTGTCTGGGGAATTTCACGTTGAGCACTTGGACTTAACAATGCCTGAGGTCCTGCTTACATGGCTGTGTACCTTTTCTGCAGCTGGTAATTTGATGTTGTACATCTTTTCTAATTTAATTTTGAATGTGCTTACATATTTAGTCCCTCTCTCAATAGCACTAAAGATAAGTTATTCACCTGTGTAGCACATCTCTACTAATATTGTTGAACGTATACACTGGGACAAAAATATGTTTGTTTTACTAAGTGAATGGAGTATTTGCTGTAAAAAAAAAAAAATGTGTTATTTCAGGCCACCATTTATCTTTGTGCTCATTTTCTGTGTATGTGTATTAGAATCTTGATTATTTTTTCTTTGGATTTAGATTAAATCATATTTAGATGAATTTTTTAAAAACACAAATAGCATTGTATGGAAACAAGAGTTTAGGTGTTGGCAAATCTCATCCTCTTGGGGAAAAATATTTTTGCCATTTTATTTTGATGTACAATCATCTAAAAAGGATCCCCTACTGATTTGCTTCTTAATTATTATTGTTTTACACAAAAGAAGTGAAATATGTCTTCAACTGACTTATCGGACATCACCCCCTTTGTGTAGATTTCCCAGGCTGATGTGTCATTATAGGAATACTACATTATAAGACTGCTTGACCATGTCACAAGCATCTAATCCATGATTTTGAAACTGCTTTAAGAGAACTAAATATCTTTGTTTTTAACAAAATGCTTAAAGCTTAATTAAACCTCTGAAATACTCTTTATTTCCCTTGAGAAGGATGATTTAAAGGCTGAAAGAGGCAGGCATGCATCCAAAGACCTAGGATTTAAATTCTGACTGTCCATTTATCCCATTAACCTTGTCTTCATCTGTGATGTCTGCTTGTGTAAGAAGATAGTGGGACAGCCCTGTCCACGGAGCATCTTAAAGATGACAAAAGGTTCTTAGAATTACTGAAGTTTTTCTGGAGGGATAAGAGTCTGCAGCCCAATGCAGACGAGTTCCCTGTGCCTGTTACAGATTGCTCAAATTTGCATGGGCAATTACACAGGGGGATCGCATCAATGCAGGGCCGCCAGCCACTGACGCCGTACAATTACACCGTGGCTTCGGTGCTTAAACTTTAAAATTCTTACACCATTGTGCCTGTTCTATTAGAACAAACTGCAGCAAATGATCCAAAGCGGATTCCGACCGGAGAGGAGGTGCTCCGGGGGAGAGGAAGAGGTGCAGTCTGGCCCCTACTGGCCAGCTTAGGCAGTCACCAGTCCCCGCACGCGACTGAGGCAACCACGGCTTTCTTTGTGCTTTGTAGTCCATGGTCTTCAGGCGGAGCCAACGGTAAGAATTACCTAATTCACAGTAGGGCTGTGAGGATTAATGAGGGAAGTTAGGCAAAGCAGGACCTGGCCCTGGTACAGAAAGTACTGCATAAACACAGGGGCTTAGAGTAGCTCTTTGTTTGGATGGTTGATTGATTCCATCAAATGCAAGGTTGTGCCTTCTCTGGTAATTGCATTTATAAACAGCAATGTTATTGTGCTCTTCCTAATAAGTTAATTTTGATAATAACACCATAAGCCCCCAAATATAAGGTACTTGATTAAAAAAAAAAAGGTATATCCAAGAAGGAAATCTAATTAAAATCTTAATAAAGCTGGAACCACCAGTGAAAGGAGAATTCATGAGGTGAAATGTCTTACCATCTGAGCATAAATGTTCCCAAGTGTTGATCTGGTACACAATTTTTCCTAAACTCTTAAAAGATTGAATAGATGCTCCGAAAAGTCAATCTATTATATTACCAATTTGACAAAAATTTATTATTTCTGCCCCGTTTGTGGTGGAAGATTTCGGGGGGTGGGAAGGAAGACGTAAGGGGACTAAACAAATAAGGGGGCTGGCTACATCCTGAAGAAAATGGCTTGAGATGAGAGGGACCAGACATAACAACAGGAAAATGGTTTGGCAGAAAGTCTTCCTTTATGAAAGAAATTGTCTGACCCCAGCTACGGTTGTTGAGATGTTCATAAATTACCAACGTTTACCAAAAGGAAGTAATTACATTTAGAGGGTAAATAAGAAAACATACTTTCCAACTAGTTTTAAAAGAGAATGTCAAATAGATTATACATAAAATAGGATATGGAATTTGGTCATCTCACATTTGACAGGCAGAAATATAAGCATGTTAAGAACCAGACATCATACTTTTAGCTCCTATCCATTGTGCTCAAATGAAATTCTTCTGTGTGGTAAATATGCCTCCCTTTACGCAGCAAAATCCACCCTGAGTCCAACACCATTTTCCTAAAGTCTAATTCCTTTCAACAAGGCACTAAATCTTTTTACTGCAGCCACCAAATGTTTTCTTATTGCTAGAAATGGTACAATACACAAACTTTTTGATACATGCTCCAGCTTTCCAAGATTGTCTTGGAAACAAAATGATCCTTTATGACATTTTGTAATATCCCACCCCATTTATTGCTTTCCAGAATTTCTATCATTAATTAAAGGGCCTTCTTTCACCATCCCCCACCGCCCCAAAACCTAATCTATTCCCCAACTGCCTGTCATAGACTAAATAAAAGTCGGTCTATCACAGCAGCAGGCATGGTCATGCCAATTTCACAGTGTGATTTGTGCACTCATTTCATTTTGAAAATGACCCTGCCCTCCATCTGTCTAAGCCGAATGTCCTGCTTTTTTCAAGCCAGGCCTCAGAAGCAGCAGCACATGAAATAAGGAAGAAGAACAGCTTCCCTACTGCCTACTTCAGCAGCCATGCTCACAGACAGGTATCAGCACAAAGAGGGGAACCTCAACTGATGCCTGTAGGGATGGGAGAAATCTAGGGGAGAGCACAGGCCTTCTATTTTGCTTCCATTCCCAAGAGGCCATTTGAAGATGAATGCTTTCATGATGCAAATACAACCCTGAAAATCAGACTGATTGATTAAAGATACAAATGACAATTTCCCATTTCTATATTTAATAGCACCTCACCCAAAGTAAGAGATCACACAAAAGGATTTTAAAATATTAATATTGAGCCTGAGTTTCCAAGGGACAAGTATAGTCAGGTAGTCATAAAGCTGAAGACCTTCCCCCAGCCACCCACCCCACTCCTGGATTACTGAGCAGCACTAGCAAGCATCCCTCAGCCCAAGTACCTCCCTGGGTTGAAGGCCCTAAAAGGGTGTACCCAGAGATTGAGTTGAAAGAAGCCTCAGAGTACAGTTATAGTAGACCTTATCCATTGCTTTCTCTGGGGATCTTAGGTGGGCCAGAATGCTATTCAACCCATCTGAAATGGGTACACTTTGTCCCTTTCTCAGTATCATGAAGTGGAAGGTTTCTTGTCTGGTCCCACCCAGAAGAACAGAGATCTGTCAATTTCTCAGCAAGGAAAGCTGAAAGAGCAGAGAAATTCAATTGCTTTGGATATAAGCAATCACAGAAGTCTCCTGCCAGCTATACTAGGTGACTAGGAACTATACCAACCCCATTATTTTCTAACACCTGCTCATAGCTACAATTCAGATATGGAAGTTCAAATGTCTATTGCCCACACCAAGTTGATTGGTTGTTTTAATGGAAGGAAAAAAGACACTACTTTTCCAGCACACAGTGTGGCACCAAACACAGCGCCTTCACAAACTCACCTATAGGAAATACAGGGACTAGGTTACAAACAGTCAATATTTCCTCCTGAAACCAGCTGCTGAATATCACGGCACTAGTGCTGTGTGCACTTGAGCAAATTCTTTGCTCAAAAAACTAAATTTGCTGGGTGGTCTTGAGAAAATTCTTTAAAACTTTCTAGTACACAGATTCTGTATCTGTAATAAAGAGAACACACGATGGTGATTAAGATTAGAAATAAGGTACATTAATTGTCTGAGTGCCATACAATATGGTTAGTGGTGGCACTGGAATTTATAAATAGAAAAGATGTTATGGGAAGAAAAAGGGCTTGATTAACTCTTTAAGTACCAGTAAAGACATGCTTTTATTTGTATGCTGTTTACTTTGGTACTAGATAGGCCAGTGTAGACAGATCATGGATGATCAATGGAGATGTAGGGGGATCAAGGAAGATTGGCTTCTTACTTGTAGTGAAAGCTGGGGAGCCAAGCCAATAGATATGGCCAAGATTAAACACTCACGTCTACTCAGTAATAACTGTTCTTTGTGGAGGGCGGAGGGAACACCTGGATCTAACATTGAACGTCTTCCAGGACCAGATAATATTCACAAAACCATTTCCCATCGTTAACTTGCGGAAACGACCAAAATAAGAATTATCTTTATCTACTGCATATTACGTCTTAGAAAGTGTGCCCTCAAGGCAGCTTAAAAAGAGAAGCTACTCTAATTCCAAGGGAATTCCGAAGAGAATTCTTTCTCATTAATTTATAAAAACTAACAGAGAAACGACACCATTAGTGTATATTGCAAAGTGTATAAGGTTAAAAACGTAAGGGGCTTCAGATCGCAAACCTTTCTTCCCCAAGCCAGAGACAGGTGACACAAAAGGCTGCCAGCGATTTTAATCAACAACATTAATGGCAGGCAAGTGACATCTCCCTTTCCCACTCCGGACGGGCCGTCCTGCAGAGACTACGCCTCCCAGCATGCAGCGCTGCACGTCCCGACGCCGGCGCGATCGGACCAGTGCATGCCGGGAAGTAGAGTTTCCGTTTCTGAACTGCCCCGACGCATTTCATTTATCTTGCGTGACTCACGACTTCCGCAGCCCGGAGTCCTCGAGGACTAATACAGTAATTTAAAAATTCACTTCAGTGATTCTTTTATATTCCTTACGCAGTTTTCCCATTGCCAAGTAACATCCGGACAGAAGAGTTTTCCGTTTCCGGTTGGCATGTTGCCTTGGTAACTGGGATGCACAGCCGCGGAGGCGGTTATGGCGGGGCTGGGCGGTGAGCCCATCCCCGACGGGGAGTTCACCGCGGTTGTGTACCGGCTCATCCGGGATGCCCGGTACGCCGAGGCCGTGCAGCTGCTGGGCGGAGAGCTCCAGCGGAGCCCGAGAAGCCGCGCCGGGCTGTCGCTGCTGGCCTACTGCTACTACCGCCTACAGGAGTTCGCGCTGGCGGCCGAATGCTATGAGCAGCTGGGCCAGCTGCACCCGGAGCTGGAGCAGTACCGCCTGTACCAGGCCCAGGCCCTGTACAAGGCCTGCCTCTACCCAGAGGCCGCCCGCGCGTCCTCCCTCCTCCTGGACAACCCCGCCTACCACAGCCGGGTCCTCCGTCTCCAGGCCGCCATCAAGTACAGCGAGGCAGACCTGCCCGGGGCCAGGAGCCTGGTGGAGCAGCTGCTGAGTGAAGGAGGAGAAGACAGCGGGGGCGAGAACGAGCTGGATGGCCAGGTCAATCTGGGTTGTTTGCTGTACAAGGAGGGACATTATGAAGCCGCGTGTTCCAAGTTCTCTGCGGCCCTGCAGGCTTCGGGCTACCGGCCTGATCTTTCCTACAACCTGGCTTTGGCCTATTTCAGCAGCCGACAGTATGCATCTGCCCTAAAGCATATCGTGGAGATTATTGAACATGGTATCCGCCAGCACCCAGAGCTGGGTGTGGGCATGACCATTGAGGGCGTTGATGTTCGAAGTGTTGGCAACACCTTAGTCCTTCACCAGACTGCTCTGGTGGAAGCCTTCAACCTCAAGGCCGCCATAGAATACCAACTGAGAAAGTATGAGGCGGCCCAGGAAACCCTCACTGACATGCCACCAAGGGCAGAGGAAGAGTTAGACCCCGTGACCCTGCACAATCAGGCACTAATGAACATGGATGCCAGGCCCACAGAAGGGTTTGAAAAATTACAGTTTTTGCTCCAACAGAACCCCTTTCCCCCAGAGACCTTTGGCAACCTGTTGCTGCTGTACTGTAAATATGAGTATTTTGACCTGGCAGCAGACGTCCTGGCAGAGAATGCCCATTTGACTTACAAGTTCCTCACACCTTATCTCTATGACTTCTTGGATGCCATGATCACTTGCCAGACAGCTCCTGAAGAGGCTTTCGTTAAGCTTGATAGCCTAGCAGGTATGCTGACTGAACAGCTCAGGAGACTCACCAAACAAGTGCAGGAAGCAAGACACAATAAAGATGATGAAGCTATCAAAAAGGCAGAGAATGAATATGATGAAACCCTTGAGAAGTACATTCCTGTGTTGATGGCCCAGGCCAAAATCTACTGGAACCTTGAAAACTACCCAATGGTGGAAAAGATCTTCCGCAAATCTGTGGAATTCTGTAATGACCACGATGTGTGGAAGCTGAATGTGGCTCATGTTCTGTTCATGCAGGAAAACAAATACAAAGAAGCCATAGGTTTTTATGAGCCCATAGTCAAGAAGCATTATGACAACATCCTGAAAGTCAGTGCTATTGTGCTGGCCAACCTGTGTGTTTCATATATTATGACAAGTCAGAATGAAGAAGCTGAGGAGTTGATGAGGAAGATTGAAAAGGAGGAAGAACAGCTCTCTTATGATGACCCAGATAAGAAAATCTACCATTTCTGCATTGTGAATTTGGTGATAGGGACACTTTATTGTGCCAAAGGAAATTATGACTTTGGTATTTCCCGGGTTATCAAAAGCTTGGAACCTTATAATAAAAAACTAGGAACTGATACGTGGTATTATGCCAAAAGATGCTTCCTGTCATTATTAGAAAACATGTCAAAACACATGATTGTACTTCGTGACAGTGTTATTCAAGAATGTGTTCAGTTTCTAGAACACTGCGAACTTTACGGGAGGAACATACCTGCTGTTATTGAGCAACCCCTGGAAGAAGAAAGAATGCATACTGGGAAGAATACAGTCACATATGAATCCAGAGAGTTAAAAGCTTTGATTTATGAGATTATAGACTGGAATATGTAGTAGTGTCTAATGATGGCTTTTGTCAAAATGGCTCTGTTAACTTTATATATTTGCAACTCTTTTATCTTTGTCCTTTGGCGTCTTCACATTTGTTATACATTGAAATTTGTACACTTGAAAATTATAATGAAAATAATTTAGATGTATCTTTTGAGAAACATCACAAAAGGATTATAATAAAAAGAACTTGAGCCCTAGAAAGATTTATGAAAAATTCAAAAGTGAATGGGGAAATGTGTCATAGTATTTGTAATGCCTACATCTCCTCTCCTTTTTATCTGTTGTGTTTTGCTATACTCTGAAAAAATCCTGCATGAGAAGATTATATCCTCCAGGGACCAAGCACTGTCAAGTCCAGAACTCAGTTAATATATAGGACATCTGGAGGTTAATAATAATCTCAAAGATTTCATGTTATACTCCAACAATTTATCTTTGAGTAACATTAATGTGTAATGCATATGTTTTGCATAGATTTTAGTATGTCTTGGCAGAATTTTCCAATACAATTGTAATGCTTGCTTTAACAAAAATTCTTTATATTCCAAACTTTTTTTTAACCTGCAAGATTTAGTAGGAAATTATACCATAACAAAACTATGGTGCTGTGGTGTGGAGACAATAAACAACTGACATTTTCATGGTTCTCTTTTGTCCATTTGTTAATAATTTGAATATATGATGTTACTCTTTTCTTTAACTGATTAATAACACTTCTTAATAAAGTTCTAAGATACCCTTAAAACTTGGTTTTTAATTCTTGTTTCTACTTAGGACACATTAATACTGGACTTTGTTTTTATGTTGTAGCCTCTTGGAAAAAGAAAAATACACTATTCCAATCACCCCATCAAAGTCTTCTATTCATACCATAAAATGTTATCAATGGATTCTGAAACCTTATGACATTTAATTTTCTACAAGCTACAAGAGCTTTATTATTTCTTTCCTCCACCCCTATACCTTTGTTCTTCATAAAAGTGACTGGCATGGCCACTTAACCTTGTTTAGAAAAGTCAACAACATTAGGTTGAACCATATGAAATTGCTGATTTTAAAAGTTTTCAACCTACAAAAACAGTAGCTCCCATGGTTCAACCTAATAGCTCTCAACAGTAGGAATTCCTACTATAATAATTTTTTTTTTCCAGGGAGGAAAAAAATAATGGCACCCAGGTGAAGCACGCTGAGAATAATTGTGTAGCGTAATATCTTTGGGTACTGAAATTCTATATCTGTCTGAGAATTTGGCTCATTGTGAATTCTGCATGGGCTTGAAATTATGTTATATTTAGTCTGTTATCTGAGCTAATACTATTTATCTGGCTGATGGTTATGGCCCCATATTTGGAAGGAAATTCTAAAGGGATTATTAAATTAGTTTATATGTTGGACACTGGAGAAAATTTTCCATTTCCTTACAAAGTATAGATAACATGCAGTGTCCTTGCTCAAGGAAGTGACTCCTTTCCAAACCTACTAGTTCCAAATAAACTTCTGGAGCATGTTAAGTACATGTTTTGCAGTTTCAGTTTTCCTGTTGGCATGTTAACTTAGACAAACGATGTACATAACTGCTGTTAACTGAACTATTCCTGAAAGAAGAATGTGAATATTGGAAAGAACACAGGCACATATGAATCCAGATAGAAGCTTTGAGTCACGAGATTACGGCTCCCCAGTGGAAAATTCTTAAAGAGACGGGAATACGAGACCACCTGACCTGCCTCCTGAAAAACCTGTATGCAGGTCAAGAAGCAACAGTTAGAACCAGATGTGGGACAATGGACTGATTCAAAATTGGGAAAGGAGTACGTCAAGGCTGTATATTGTCACCCTGCTTATTTAACTTATATACAGAGTACATCATGTGAAATGATGGATGGATGAAGCGCAAGCTGGAATCAAGATTGCTGGGAGAAATATCAATAATCTCAGATATGCAGATGACACCACACTTATGGCAGAAAGTGAAGAGGAACTAAAGAGCCTCTTGATAAAGGTGAAAGAGGAGAGTGAAAAAGCTGGCTTAAAACTCAGCATTCAAATATTAAGATCATGGCATCTGGTCCCATCACTTCATGGCAAATAGATGGGGAAACAATGGAAACAATGATAGACTATATTTTCTTGGGCTCCAAAATCACTGCAGGTGGTGACTGCAGCCATGAAATTAAAAGATGCTTGCTCCTTGGAAGAAAAGCTATAACAAACCTGAACATTGTATTAAACAGCAGAGACATCTACTTTGTCAACAAGGGTCCATATAGTCAAAGCTATGGTTTTTCCAGTCGTCATGTATGGATGTGAGAGTTGGACCATAAAGAAGGCTGAGTGCTGAAGAATTGATGCTTTTGAACTGTGGTGTTGGAGAAGACTCTAAGAGTCCCTTGGACTTTAAGGAGATCAAACCAGTCAATCCTAAAGGAAATCATTCCTAAATATTCACTGGAAGGACTGATGCTGAAGCTAAAACATCAATACTTTGGCCATCTGACTCATTGGAAAAGACCCTGATTCTGGAAATGATTGAAGGCAGGAGGAGAAGGGGATGACAGAGGATGAGATGGTTGGATGGCATCACGAACCTGATGGACATGAGTTTGAGCAAGCTCCGGGAGCTGGTGAAGGACAGGGAAACCTGGTGTACTGCAGTCCATGGGGTCCCAAAGAGTCAGATATGACTGAGTGACTGAACTGAACTGAACATACTAGTAAGAATCATTCACATCTGTAATTCTAAGTGTACAAAGTTCAAATATAACAACTGCAAAGTTGTTGGGAAAGATTGAAGGCAGGAGAAGTGGGAACAACAGGACGAGATGGTTGGATGGCATTACCAACTCCATGGACATGTTTGAGCAAGCTCCGGGAGTTGGTGAAGGACAGGGAAGCCTGGCGTGCTGCAGTCCATGGGGTCAGAAAGAGTCGGACATGACTGAGCAACTGAACAACAACAACGTGAGATTATAGGTTGGATTATGTAGTAATGCCTGATAATGGCTTCTATTTAATTCTTCATTAGCCCCATTTCACAAATTCTTAAAATCTATATTTATCCTTGACAACGTTTTGGCTGTTCACTCAGTCGTGTCCAACCCCATGGACTGGAGAGTAGCCCCCCGCAACTGGAGAGTAGCCCCTGCTCACCACAACTAGAAAAAGCCTGCATGCAACAATGAAGATCCAGCACAACAAAATTAATTTTTTTTTAGAAAAGGGAACATGCAGTATAAGCTAAATCACTTTTGCAGTCTCTCTGCCAGTAATAATCACCAGGTATTGGCCTCAAGCAACAGTTGCTAGAGTGACATCTTCGTATAAGCAAGTAACCATAAAGAGCAATTTCTTTTCTACTTTAGGCTATAGAAAAGGCTGTGGCATGAGCCAAAGAACTGTTAAGAGTGGGTGTGTTTGCATTACTCTGGTGACCAGTACATAATGGTCCATGGCTGGACCATTTCTTTTGGCAGCACAATGTGGCATGCAGGACCTTAGTTCCCCCCACCCCAGGGATCAAACCCAAGCCTCCTGCAGTGGAAGTGCAGAATCTTAACCACTAGACCACCAGGGAAGTCCCTGGACAATTTCTTAATCAGTAAATAAATATAGGCTCATTGTGCTATCTTAGGATAGACTGTGCTGTCCAATAAGACCAATTCTTATTAAAACTTAATGCCTTCACTCTATTTTTTAGTCCTTCAACTTTGTGGATCTCAGCAATGTTGAGTTTGGACCCTGGGCTAAGTTCTTTGAGAAGTACAAGTACTAAATGAATAAGAACTGTTTTTTTCAAGTATGAAGTTTGGTTCATGACTTCATTTTTCTTCATAATTTGGTTGCTTGATTGGTCTTAAGTTTTATAATCAAAATTCCCCTTCACATTCCATTTTTTATTTTTTAGAATCGATTGTGCCTCGTTGTGAATACTAACAAATATCAAGTAGAGACTATAATGAGTTCAAGGTAGGAGGAAATGAGCACTAAGTGATAATGAAAAGACTAAGGTATTGAGTTTCAGACTTTCCCCAGTCAAGCTGTAGGCCTTAAGAAACTCACCCCTTGAGGTCCCAGTCATTTGAACTACTAGATGCTCTTCACAGTTACTTCTGGCTACAACATCTGCTTCTGTATAAGTCATACAGAAGAAAGCTGCCTCCTTCTATGACCTGAATATATAGTAATAAACAAGTCACTCAGGAAACACAATATATATTTGTATTAACAAATGTTTTCTGGTATTTTTACTTATGACAGTAAACATTAACCCCACAGGTAAATGTTGTTGTTATCTCATTGGATGCATTAACATTTTGACAACTACTAAGAAATTTGGATTTTTGTCTTTTTTTCACTTGGAGATTTGCTTATAGCTCTAGCTATGAAAATGTATTTTAAGGCAATCCTCATTCTCTGCTATGGTTGTGCGTAAATTAAGAATTTTGTAAATATTTATAAATTACTTCTCAATTTCTCTCTTTATCTACTGATGTCTATTTATTGGAGAAGGGGATATGTGCTTTTAATTATTCCCTAAGATGGTATACCAAAAATGGTATATACTTCTGGAGTTTTATTAACATGTTATTATAGTATGTATTTTTAAAATCAGTTATTCTTGAAATAATTACAGTCTCTCATGCCCCTGAAGTGAGGCCTCCAGCTGCCAGTCTGCCAGAAATTTGGAAAGAAAGGAACATTGAGGTGAAGACGAAACAGAGCTTTAGCTATGTGATTTACTTTATGGCCCACCTTGGATCCCCTTCATGTCCAAATCTCGGTAGTTAATCAAATGTCTGCTGCCATTAATGGAACAGCAGTAATGGATAACAGAGTGGAAGTAACAGATGCCAGAGCTACTTCTGTAACTAACTCACTCAGTCATCAGTCCTTACACCCTTGTTTTAATACAAGGAGGAGAGGTCATGCAGACTTTCAAAAGGACAAAGCCACAATGAACAGGAAGAGAATTTCCAGTTTATAAAGCTTTCTTTTGGAGC